TCTGGCCTCCTGTGCTCCAGCCACATGCAGGGGCCTCCAGAGCTACATGGAGGCCACACGTGGCACTGAGGCGCCAACGCTGCTCGGGACATAGCTGTGCCCTCCCGCTGAGCTGGCTCCCTGCCCCCGTTTGGGCGTCTGAAGACTAATCCCAGTAATAACAGGGTGATAGCAAGTGTCTGCGGGGGGCCTCCTCCCCTGACCCACTCCCCAGACTGCACACGCACACACACATACACACACATGCCACACACACCACACACACACGAGACATACACACATGACACACACAACACACATAACACTCATGACACACACAAGACAAACACATGACACACACATGACACACACAACACATTCGATACACGTGACACGAGACACACGCACATGACACGCACATATGAGACAGACACACGAGACACATGAGCATGAAATACACACATGACACTCGCATGTGCATGCGCACACACACACATACACACACACACACACACACACGAGACACGGTGCCTTCTCCAGGTGCTCTCTGCTTCACCTTCTGTGCTTGAGCACAGGCGTCTGTGGGAATGAAGACCTTTCACAGCCATTTCCAGTGGAATCCAGTCTCCTTTTTTCCGATTTTTTTTAAAATTGAATCACTGTGAGATAGACGCTTATAAAGCTGGTCATGATTGGGTTTCAGTCATACAGTGTTCCAACACCCATCCCTCCGCCAGTGCACATTTCCCAGCACCAGGGTCCCCAGCTTCCCTCCCATCCCCCACACCCTCTCCCTGCCTGCCTCTATGGCAGGTGCTCTCTCTCTCTCTCTCTCTCTCTCTCTTCCCTCCCTCCCTCCTTCCTCCCTCCCTCCCTCCCTCTCTCTCCGTCCATGTCTCTCTCTCCCCTCTCTCTCCTCTCTTTCTTTTCTTTCTCTCCTCTCTCCCCTGGAGGGGAAAGAAGGCATGGGATGGAGGTCATGAGGAGTGTAGAAGGTCACAGAGGAGTCTAGAAGGTCACGGAGGAATCTAGAAGGGGTTCCTCACTCGTGGAGGGTAGTTGACACTGGTGGAATTAGTGTTGAAATATTATATGCCTAAAACTCATCGGTCAGTAACTTTGTAAAATACAGTTCCTTCAATGAAATTTTTTTAACAAGGAAAAAGAATTCCAGGAGGAGAGTTGCTGAGGAGCAGAGGGGGCAGGAGAACCCAGTGCTGTGGGGCTCCTTTGCTGGAGGCGACGCTGAGGCGCTGAGGGACGCAGGCTCCTGTGGGTGAGACGACGCTTTGCTTCTTCCCTCCATGGCCAGGCTGGGACCAAGAATCCAGCTGACGTGAGACAGACCCATCGCCGGCACACCATGGTGGGTCACACTCGGATGTGACTGAATTCACACAAAGTACAGGGCCGGCTCTGACGTCCTAACAGGAGACAAGCATCCAGCCTCTATTCCTGCGTGCCCGTGGAGCCTTCACAGGGCATTGGGGCCAAGGGTTGAACAAGGGCTGGTGAGGAAAAAGGAACACATCCAGGGGAGATGGGGCTATTTTGAAAGCTTGGTTTGTGTTGGTTCCTCACAGCCTTGCGGTCTCTCCCTGGCACTCGGAGTGCTTCTTTCACCTGACAGAGAATCACCTTTCACCTGGGAGTCTTTAGGAGGAAAAAGCTCAGTCAGGATTCTCAGCTTCTAGCAGCTTCAAGAGCCGTTAGGGCATAGAAGGACTGCACTCGTTCGTGGAATATAAAGTAATACAGAATGGGAGACGAGCACCCAAGGATAACAGGGATAAAGGTCAGGAGGATCGCTCCATGGCTTGGAAGCCGCCTCACGTCTCAGCTGGGGGAAAAAGCAGCAGGGATAGAGAAGAAACCACCAAGTAAAGAATGCTTGGAGGTCTCGCTCGGGATGGGAGATGCATGCTGAAAGTAGACCATGGACTGAACATGATGGCCGCTTAGTACCTGTATTGCAAACCATAACTCCCAAAAGGAGAGAGAGAGAGAGTAAAAGGGAATGTGCCTGCAACAGAAGCAGGGGGCTGGGGCCGGGATGGAGGGGGGTGGTGGGAGCGATACTGGCATCATTGGTGGTGGAGAATGGGCACTGGTAGAGGGATGGGTACTCGATCATTGTATGACTGAGACGTAACCATGAAAGTTTGTTAAGTCTGTGGGGGAAAAAAAAGAGCCTATAAGGCAACAGAATCCTCCTGTCAGAGGGGACTGTCAGGCCTTCTCTGCTCTCCCTATTCTTGGGTGAGTAGCAGAACCGGAGGCTGGACCTCCTCTCCTTTATTCTGTGTTGACTGGATTCAGGTTCCATTCTGTGTCTGGGTCATGCAGTTCCCCCAGGGTCAATGTCCCCAGGGGGTTGCCATGCTCTGCGCCTAGTGACGAGTCATCGGCTTGTGTCTCACCATCCAGAGACCCAGCAGGTGAATGAAGGACACCATTATGTCGTTCAGCCCAACTGGTGCCATGAGTTAGGTCAAGTTCAAGTCAAACTCTCGGGACCCTGAGCCCAGAGCCTCTGCCTCCTTCCTCCTCAGGGCTGAGACTCTTCCGTAACTTTCTCTCCTTACACTGCCTTTCATGGCAGCATATATTGACTTTTTGGTTGTTGTTGCTGTGTTATATTTGGGAATGAGTTAAAGGCATATTTGGGGGGAGAAGAGCCCCCAAGCAGAGCCAGATTTGCACCTCCCGGGCCCTGTCCCCGATGTAAGAGGGGAAACCATTGGGCCAGAGATTGTTGCTTTAATTTTGATGCAGCTGGTGACCCCAGTTCGGGAAACTTGCAGTGGGGCCAGCCCCAGGCCCTGCAAAATTAGGGGATGTTCCCAGTTGCAGCCCCTCTCCCCAGTGTGGAGTCTCAGAGCTCCAACCAGCAGATTCACTGCAGCCCACGACTGCAGCAGGAAGCGCCGCCTTGGATATTTCCTCCCCTGATACGGTTACTATAACCCCCACCCAGTGTTCCTACAAATTAAATTCTGGTGTAAAGGGACCAATTCCGCAAGGTACTGTAGGGCTACTCTTAGGGAGAAGCAGTTTGACTATTAAGGGAATTATTGTCCATACAAAAAGGACATTGCTCTGAATTAACTATGCAAAGGACTTAAGAGAAAAACAATACTTACAAATTAACCGAGCACAGAAAAAGAAGTTACAAATAAACACGGAAGAATGAGAGCACTATGGTGGGAGTAACTCAATAAACCTAAACTCCCCGCGGCAAGGCAGAAAGGACAAACCAATGTTATCCTACATCACCCCAAACACTTCAGATTTTTAATGTGGCTAAATTTCTGTTTGCAGGCCACATTCGGCTGTGCTCAGGGCTTGCTCCTGTCTCTGTGCTCCAGGTACCCTTCTTGACCATATGAGGTATTAAATGGTATTAAATGGACCATATGAGGTGCCAGGGGTTGAAGCAGGTTGGCCACATGCAAGGCAAATGCCTGAACTCTATCACTCTCTCTCTGTCTCTTCTTCCTTCTCTCTTTCTCTGTCTCTGTCTCTTCCTCCTCTCTTTCTCTGTCTCTCTGTCTCTGTCTCTTCCTCCTTTACTCTTTCTCTGTCTCTGTCTCTCTCTCTCTCGCTGTCTCTACCTCTCTATCTCTCGTTGCCCCCTGATTTTGAACTTACTTTTGGTTGTTACACATTCCAAGAACTTTGACTGCTGCTAAGTTTTTTTGTGACTCCTCATTCACTAAGGTGACACCACCTGGATGGAGAGCCACAGTGAAGGCAGTGAGGCCCAACCAATTCCAGTGAGGCACAGTCAGCTGCTGTGACCATCACTGAGTCAGGCACCCTCGAGAACACGCTTCAGACTCTTCAAACTGCATTTTGAAATACTCAACTCAAGAACACCAGCGAAGTCATAATCATTTATTGTAAATCACTCATAGTTTACACATTATTAATGGCAAAATAACACAGTTAAACACCTGCGGGATGAAGAATTTCATTATGATATTTTCCTACTGGCATCACTCCTTTTTTGCAAAAGTTTTAAATTGAAGCCTTAACTCCTACTTCTTTCCTGAAAATCTCTATGTTAAAAGTGCTCCGATGGCAACACTCTGAGCCTTTCTTTCCTTCTAACATCTAACAGAAAGGGCAAGTTGTCCCATTAATTCAACATGCTCTTTACAAGGCAACTTAACACATTAAAAAAAATCTTTTTTTCTTTTTTTTTTGTTTTAATCCATAAGCTACATAATGATCACTTTATATTTTGCTGCAAAATCAATGAAGGCTGCATGCAGGTGACACATTAGTAGACATGGATTTCTAGATAACTGTCGGTTATTAAAGATCTGATGGCCTGGTGTGGAAAATTAATATGCTTACTTAGCAGAAGTAGCTAAAGTACATGCATTACTGGCTGGGATCAATTAGAATATAAATTAGGTATCTAAACATTTAAATGAGAGCTTAATTTGAGTTTCATTTGATGCCTGGCACATCGGAGTTATACACCTTTAAAATGACAATAGCAAAGAGAACAAATCTAACACCTGAACAGTCACTGGTCGATAAGGCGGGCTGGGCATGCAGGCTGGCACCAGAATGAGCTGGGGAGTGACAGGTGCCCGTGGAAGCAGATAGTGGAGCATTAACAAGCTGTAAACAGGGCAAAAAAATAAGAGAGCCTTTTCCCATAATCTCCTTTTGTAAAGTGTTCACTCCTCTTCAGAAAACAACACTGAAAAGATATTCGTGATAGTTACGGAACAGAAATGCTCCTACGTGTCCACTTGGAGCCCTCTTTGGTCCCCTACCCTATCTCTCTGCTCCTCCAGATGCTGTGTTCAGAAATGATGCTAGGTTCCTTGGTAGAAAAGAAAACAAGTGCTCTCCTCCCAGATGACACTGAAAGAATATTCGATTCCTTCATCCTGTCGGGGTGAACCGCACGTACAAGCACATGAAAATGGAGGTCGACAAATCATAGCTACAGCGATGATTGAATCACACGTCCACAGTCTAAATGTGAAATCAGAGTTACACCGACTTGGAAAGTGGTTTTCGTTGATAGTGGATCGTACATTATATTGAGACAGACAAACAAAAATCCCCAGACCACATGGATTCGGTTCCCTCCCCACTCTCTGCCCCTGAGCACGTTCCAGTGGATGAAAGAACGAGAGTAACAAAAGCACGAGCCCAGGCGTCCGTGGGGATGTGGCGGCCGGAGGGTCCGGGTCAGGCGCTGCCGTCTCCAGTCCTGGCCTTCCGGGCCTCGATCATCGCCTTGCTGGCCCGTTTGCGGTCAGTGGCCAGCCCCAGCCAGCACATGAAGTCAATGAACCAGGTGGTGGGGTTGAAATTTAAGCCAAACTCGCTTGCAGAGTAGTCGAAGGGAAAGGTGTGATGGTAATTGTGGAAGCCTTCGCCTGGAAGAGAGCGGGTTTGAAGTCACCCACCACATCCATGGTCCCTCTTGCAGACAGGGAGCACTCAATGCTTCTCTGCAGGGAGTGCTCACCTCTGCACACCTCAGTCTAGTTTTATCTGTGTGTGTGTGCGTGTGTGTGCGTGTGTGTGTGTGTGTGCATGCACACACATGTGTCACACCCACTGATGGCTACTCCTGGCTCTGTGCTCAGGGGTCACTGCTAGCTGTGCTTAGGAGACCATGCAGTGCTGAGAACGGAACCCAGGTCTCCAGCATGCCAAGCCTGTTCTTGGGCTGTTGAGGCATCTCTCCTGCCCAGGTCCTAGCAGTCGGCAAGTGCCAGAAGCGGTGCTGGGCTCTGTGGGAAGGAGAGACTTGGGTCTGGTCCTCAGGCAATGATTGCTTAGTTGCCTCAACAAAGGGAACTGTGATCCTTAGGAACGAAAATCAACATGAGGTTGTCCACAGAAGTCTACGGGTCTCGGTCTTTTGTTTGCTTGTTTTGTGCTTGTACTCAGAGGGGGTGGCTTGCTGGTGATGGTCGGGGACCACGTGGTGCCGTAGCTGGGAGCTGCACCACCGTCGCGCAAATCATGCGCTCAGTCCACCGAGAGAGCTCTTGGCCCTAGTGCTCAGTCTTTAGGAATCACTTTGTTTCAGCATAAGAATAAAAACGTACAGGAGGGACAAACGACTGACTCAGACCATAAGGCCGTGATGAGAACATCACCCAGGAACCAGGAACCAGAGATCTAGAACAAGGGTAAAGGCACTGATTTTGGGGGCTGGAGTGATAGTACAGCAGGGAGGGCATTTGCCTTGCACGTGGCCGACCTGGGTTCGATTCTCAGCATCCCATATGGTCCCCCGAGCACCACCAGGAGTAATTCCTGAGTGCATGAGCCAGGAGTAACCCCTGAACATCGCTAGCTGTGACCCCAAAAGCAAAAAAATAAAAATCTAAATCAGTAATTTCCAAAAGCAGACTGTAGTAAATTGATATATGAATGTTATAAGTTTTAACAATATTGTAACTACCCAAAGTAAAATTAGAAGCATTGTTGGGGCTGGAGCACCCGGCCAACCCGGGTTTGATTCCCTGCATCCCATATGGTCCCCCAAGCACCGCCAGGAGTAATTCTTGAGTTCAGAGCCAGGAGTAACCCCGGGGCATTGCTGGGTGTGACCCAAAAAGGAAAAAAAAAAGACACTGACTATGTATGCGGTCAACCCCAATTCACTTCCTGGGCACGTTGTAGGGTCCCCCGAATCCCACCAGGAGTGATCTCAAGCACAGAGGTAGGAGTAAGTCCTGAATCCTATGTGGCCCCCCAACAAACACACAAAGAAATAAAGCAACAAGAGGGCTAATGCAGAGAGATTTAGGGACTATCTAGGACCCAAGACCAAAACCCACAGTCTGTGCTACCTGCTCTTTCTGGGCTCCACAAACCATTCTCTCAATGTGAGAGGATGCGGACGGCCACTCTCCCGGGTTGTCCCATGCCTACTCACCGATGGCGCCCAGGGTGACCAGTGGGTTCTGCCGCGGGCTGATGTGCTTGTCATAGGGCCGGTTTCCATACATGTGGGCAGCGCTGTTGACCAGCCAGGTGACGTTGAGGGAGATGGTGTAGCGGAGGATGGAGGCCAGGAAGTAGGAGTTCCACAGGCTCTCTCCCCAGACGCACCAGGGCACCAGCGTTGGGATCACGAAGCACATAAGCAGCACGGTGACCTTGTAGTACCTGAGAGGTGAGAACTGCATCAGTGGACAGTGCTGGTGATGGCTGGGGCTGGTCGGGAAAACTGCAGGTCAAGGAAGGACTGGGTGGGCTCTGCCAGCGCTTCTGTGTGAGGACGACTCCACTACGTGGCACCCTCCGGAGCTCACAGACCCCCAGAAAAACCAGGGCTGGGCAGGAAACACACACTTGAAAGCAAGCATTCTAGGAAGTGGTAATGCCTGTAGTTCAGAGGCATTTCAGCGCAAAATCAGCAACATAGTGCTGTGAAACTCAGCTCTCTATGTGTGTGCTTTTATGTTTGTCTAACATGTTTATGTTTGTCTAAAATATTTATCAGCAGGTAGGGTGTTTGCCTTGCACACAGACCACCTGGCCCACCCAGGTTCTATTCCTCTGCCCCTCTTGGAGAGCCCAGCAAGCTACCGAGAGTATCCCTCCCACACGGCAAAGCCTGGCAAGCTACTCGTGACGTATTCAATATGCCAAACACAGTAATAGGTGTCACAATGGAGACGTTACTGGGTCCACTCAAGCAAATCGTTGAACAATGGGAGGACAGTGACAGTAACATATTTATTGGTATTGCAATTAATTGCATCCATTTCAAACAGCCTCTCATGAGACCAAGAGGTAAAAGTAGTTGCCTTTCAGGTGGTAGATCTCAGTTCAGTTCAATCCCCAACACTGCATATGGTCCCCGGAGCACGCTCGGGGGTCGCTCCTGATCCTGAAATACCCCTGAATACCACTGGCTGCAGCCCCCCCAACCAAAACAAAACAGCCAGACAGCCCCTCACAGTTTCTTCCCTCAATCACCCTAGTAATGAGGAATCCTAACATAATTTCAAGAGATTCTCAATCTCTTTGAATGATTTTCCAGGCACATGTTTCTGTCCTAAGGCAGCTTGGGCAAAAGAATCCTGCCTTGCTAATCCTTCAGAGACTGCATATCAAACCAACGTAAATCATAAACAGTAAGTGTAAGAATGGTCACGGCCGCAGAAGGATGAACCATTCAAAGGAAATTATCAGTGGTTTGACTTCTGGCCCACGTGTTTGGCAAACATTTATTGAGCACTTACTCCACACCAGGCCATGAAATACCACAAAGGAAACTGGACATTGTCCTTGCTGTCCCGGCCTTTGGTCAAGTAAATCACTGCCTCCGGTTTGATGCAGGGACAGATGCAAGGGTCTGCAGCCGTCTGTTCAGAGCTATTTCCTTCCCTCCCCACCTGGCCTTAGTTAATCAAACTTCCAGAAGGCATCTGGAAGTTCCTCCCCCCAGGACGGTGGGTCCCTGAGGAGCCTGAGTACGGATGTGACTTCCCAAGGTGGAGGAGGAAAAGGCCTTCAGCTCTCTGCACAACCCTAGCCACCAGATTTCCTCTTCCTCAAAAGTCTCCACTCTTTCTAACTCACTGCCTTCAGCCCAACAAAGATTAGCAAATCTAATTATAGGCCTGTTCTCTCATTGTTCTTCCTGCATTCCACTGGGACTCCTCTTTGAGAGTTCAGTAGAGTGAATAAAAGAAGAAAACACATACATACATACATATTATTATTATTATTATTATTATTTTGTCTTGGAGTCACACCTGGCAATGCTCAAGGATCACTCCTGGTGGTCCTTACAGGAAAATTTGTAGTGTCAGGACTAAACCTGGATCAACCACAGCAAGGCAAATGCCCTGCCTGCTGGATTATATCTTTGGCCTAAAAAGAAAACATCTTTGTTGTTGTTGTTGTTATTGGTTTGGGGTCACTCCTGGTTCTGTGCTCAGGGGCCACTGCTGGTGGACTTGGGGGGGCCATGTGGGTGCTAGAAATAGAACCCAGGTTGGCTGTGGGCAAGGGAAATGCCCTAAACCCTGTCCGATCACTCTGCCTTAGAAAAAGATGTTTTTAAGGGTCACGGTAAGTGTGGGTGGCACTGCCGGGGAGATGAGCCTTGATGCTGACATGAGGGAAAAGTTCTTCCCAACATTTGCAACTGGACGTGGCAAATCCTTCCAGGGCAACCCGGGCCCCTTCCTGCATAGGACTGGCCAAGAGAGGTTTGTCTGCTTTGTTTGTTTACTCACTTACTTTTACTTCCTCCTTCCTCTTCCTGTCCCTTTGGTGACACGGAGGTGTGAAGCTAAGTTCTTGAAACTTCGTTATTGTGTAAACCAATCATAAGCCAATGGAAAAAAAAATTTTTTTAAGAAACCAGAAGATGAGGTTGTCACTCTGACCAGCATAAAAAAAAAAAAAGAAAGAAAGAAAGAAAAAGGGAAACAGAAATAGCTGGTTCGAATCACTTTGAATTTTCCAAATACCTTTTCTCTCATATTCCAGAATTCACTTCTGTTTTATGTTTTTTTGTTGTTTTATGCTATTATTATGGGGATAACATGTCTTATGTACTTGTTAGTGCTCATGGTGTGTGTGTGTGTGTGTGTGTGTGTGTGTGTGTGTGTGTGTGTGTGTGTATACCACCACCAGAAGGCCCAGGACCCTTCTGTCTTTATGTCTCTTCTAGCCTGTGCCTTCTTTCCCCAATCCTCCCTCACTCCCTGCACCTGCCTTGGTCACCTCAGTTCTGTTATCAGCGCCCAGCGGTTGTTTTCACTGGCCACTCCCTTTCTTTGTTTCTTTATATACCACGAGTGAGATCATCTGGCATTGGTTCTTCTTCCTCCGATTTATTCGCTTAACACAACACCCTCAAGTTCCATCCAAGTTGTAGCAAACGGCAAGATTTCCCCTTTTCTTACAGCGGAGTAGTATCCTATGGTGCCTGTATGCCACAATTTCATTACCCACTCATCTGTCCTTGGGTACTTGGGTTGTTTCTGGATCTTGGCCATTGTAAATTGCACTGCCGTGAATAGAGCTGTGCAAATATCTTTTGGATTAATGTTTTTTATGTTCTTGGAATAGCTGCCAAAAAGTAGAATGACTGGGCCATACGGTTTTTCATAAGGCTAAACCACATGACATCCCCACCAACAGTGAATGAGATTCTTTTTTCACTGCATCCCTGACCCCTCGTTGCTGCTGAACTTTTAAAGATAGCTTATTTTCACTGTAGGAGATGATACATCACTGTCACTTAGATTTACACCTCCCTGATCATCAGTGATGATGAACACCTCTTCATAAATGCAGAATCCATTTATTTTCCCTTGAAAATGTGTGGGACACATCTTGTAAAGTGATAAAGTCTGGGGACACATGAGGATGACATCCCCCCCACAGAAGAGAGCACATCACGTGTGAGTCGGCCCTCTCTGGCTTCCACCTCAGGAGGCACTTCTTCCTCTTTGAAGTTGTACCAAACCCACCACTTCTTTCAGGGGGAGCCAGAGAAACAATCTCAAACTATTCGCCCTTCACATTTTCTTCATTTTTCATGAAATGTTCTAGCGTGTTTCTCATTCAAGAGAGAAGGAATTCTATCTGTTCGTCAAGGTCAGATGTATTTATATTCTGCTACTCAATTTCAAGTGCATTCTGCTACAGAACTTCACTAAATTGACACTACATCACAGAACTTCTCTAAAGTCACTACATCTTCCCAATAGAAAAGGGCAAGAGTATTCTGGGGTAGGAGTTGGAGAGGGTTATGGTGACGAGACTCATCTCAGAGTTATGAAAGTCATTGTATTACTTTGGTTATCTCATGAGACAAGGTGCAACACTCTTTGTACACTATTGAGGCGCTAGATCAAATATTAAAATTATTAATGATTTGGAAAGAATAAAGACGGTCAGGAGAGTAAGTCTGCAGCAGGACAAGTGGTAGAGGTGAGGGAATAACGGTACACTGAGTCACGGTTGGTCATCAATGGGCCCCAAGCTCTACTCCGAGTCAGACAGAGCCGGGGGCAGGTTAGAGCAGAGTAGAGGAGTGATCTGGCTCCATGGTAACAGGATCACTCTGAGTGTGGTGTGGAGAAGGGCCTGCAGGGTGAGGGTGGGGAAGGCAGAAGCCAGGAGAACACTTAGGAGGCAGCTGCATACGCCTAAGCCAGAGAGGACGTGCCCTTGGACCAGAGAAATGCCCAAATTCTGGAGGCACTGGGAGAGGAGAGGGCCAGGGCTTGTGTAGACTAGATGCTGCGAGGTGTCAGGGAAGGCAATAGATGGTGATGATAGCACAGCAGTAGGGTGTTTGCCTTGCACGCAGCCAACATGGCCAACCCGAGTTCGATTCCTCCGCCCCTCTCGGAGAGCCCGACAAGCTACCAAGAGTATCTCGCCCGCACGGCAGAGCCTGGCAAGCTCCCCGTGACGTATTCGATATGCCAGACACAGTAACAACGAAGTCTCCAATGGAGACGTTACTGGGCCCGCTCGAGCATCGATGATGCTCAGGGATGGAGGGGCAGGGTCTGGGATGTGCCGAGTGGAAGCTGCCTCTCTGCCTTCAAGTGGTGCCATAGAACAGGCTCAGTGCCCAGGCCTGAGATTTAGAGGCCCCTGAAGGGGCGTAGGACAGGCAGAGAAACAGAGAACTTCTAAGCATGTCTATCACTCACCTACACACATTTTCTCATTGGACCCCCACAGTAGCTCGATGAGACTGTTATTTATGACCTAATATTGCAGGGCCTTTTCCGAGGTCCATGGAGTTCACAGAATTCTGCCCAGGCCAACCTGGGTGGGGCAGAGCATGGGGAGACCTCAAGCTCCATCCTGAAACCCAGCTGTCTGCTTCTGCGAAGAAGAAACTGTTGCTCACTCAGCTTATTGGGGTCCGGCCGTGGAGAAGAGGAAAACTGTCTATGGAGTCCGAAGAGCCTGGCGTGGGAGGGGGCAGCAGGACCCCAAAATCTGCAGTTATTTGACTGTCTTATAAGGGTAGCACCGTAGCACTGTAGCACTGTCCTCCCGTTGTTCATCGATTTGCTCGAGCGGGCCCAGTAATGTCTCTATTGGAGACTTTGTTGTTACTGTGTCTGGCATATCGAATACATCATGGGGAGCTTGCCAGGCTTTGCCGTGTGGGAGAG